TTTTTTTCAGAGAAGGTGGGGGTCCCCCCCCCCCCCCCCCCCCCGCCACTCCTGCCACCAAGGAGACAGTAGAAGCACTCACCCATTCCTTCCATTTTCTGGATGAGAGATTAGATGGGAGTGGTGTGGGGCAGTGGGATGGGAGTGATGGGGCACGAAGGGACATGAGGTTCCCCATGGCTGAAAGAGCAGACAAGGGCAGCCTGGCGTGGACTCCCTGTGACAGAGAGCAGGACAAAGTTTATGCTTCTGTACCCAGGGGGAGTGTAGAAGACATGCAGTCATACACAGGCCAGATCTTGGGCAAGTGTCAAGTTGCACACCCCAAACTAATCAGGACAGAAGTTCCCATTAGTGGAGCTAGGGTCAGAGCCTGGGCTCTGGCAGCCCTCACAAGCTGTGTTCACTCACCTGTACTCAATGGTTCAAACAAAGACACTAAATAGTGGAAAGCACAAAAAGGAGATATACTCAATATGGCTTTATAGGGAAGATGAACAAAGAGGTCTAGGAACTCCATCTACTGCTCATCAAGTTCATTTTTCAGGTTCTAACATGAGTTTTAGGTTTAAACAGAAGATCAGAGGTGCACATAACTGACCATCTCCATTATGGCATGCTTCCACCCATCACTATTGTCTCAGCTCCAGTCTCTTCTGCCAAAAGTCTGCCAAACTGTAAATCTCTCTCTAGGAGATTTCCCTTTTGACTCAACCAGGATTCGGCCCTTTTCTTTCTTCCAGAATGAGGTTCCTAGGAAATTCCACTTCCTTGGGAATTCCAATTGTCTCAATAGTCTGACAGCCAAAGAGATGGGCACAAGTGTCTGCAGAATATCTCCATTCCTCTAGTCCTTACCCTCTGTACGTCTTCTCTTTCCAAGTTGCTGGCTTCTCTATGGCCAATTCCTGCCAGCCAATAATTGGCTCCATCCCCTGATTCAAGGTATAACTATATTAGGTAGTCTCAGGAGTGTCAGAGTGCAATCCAACTATGCCACAGCAGACAGGCACCACTGGAATACATTCATTCAGTGCTAGTGCTTGTATATGCACAGAGAGCTTTCTCACAGAGCAAACTTGGGCATCTTAGACTGATAGGCAGACACTGGCATTCTGAGTTTCTCATCCCAGTGTCTCTGACAAAGGGAGTTTGGCTGTCATTCTTGTTTTCCTGGCTGGCCTCCATCCTCGTGTCCCTCCCCTGCCAGTAAAGTTGTGGGAGTCTTGGAACAGACTATTCAACTCATAAACAGATTCAGTTATCTGCTCGTTGGCATTACTGCTACGTTTTTCTGCCAGATGATCACCATGTCTCCTGAACTGATACAACCCAAGTGTATACTGGATGTGGATTCAGTAGTGTCCTTCTCAGAGAATAACACTGATCCTTGATGCAGGAAGAAGCAGAGCAAACTCATAAGACATCTCTTTCTCTAAAGGGTTGAGCTTGTCTTTCTAACTCCATTACCCTCAGGGTTGGTCTTTATTCAGGCTCTTCAGCCCTTCATGCAAATAACATTTCTGAACCCGTCTCAAGCATAATAGAGTCAATTTGCACTGGAGCCGAGAAAGGCTTCCCTGTTTCCACCTACTTAATTTCACTGAGAAGTGAGTTGGTTCTAGGGTGATTTCAGGCAACGGTTTGGGAGTGAACCATCTTTCTCTCTAGTATGTCCATCTCCCCCAGGCTTTGTGGGTCCTGCAGCTGATAAGCCACAAGCATGTGTTTGTGTGAAGAGTTGATGATTAGCAGCAGACTTCTTTAAATAGCTTTTTAAAACGAGGCCTTACAGTCCTAGAGTCATCACAAACTTGATGAGATGACCCAAGGTTTCACTCCTCTAGACTTTGATTTCTACAAAAGGAAGTATTACTGCTTCAGGTATCTGCCCCTTGAGGGTATTATAGAAGTCTCAAAAGACTAATACCAGATCACATTGGATTCTTGGGATTGTGATGTCATTGTTATTATTCCCTTATTGGTGAAGAATACCTATCAAGTCTGCAAGAGGCCGGGGCTACTGAATTCAGATGTATGAAAAAGTCCAGCTGCCCTCCCTAGGAAATCTGTAGTGTGAGCAGTGATGAGATGAGCCAACACGGAGGCAAATGGGACCTCACTTGGCTTAACCCCTGCCCACCCCACCCCACCTCACCCTTGTTTCCTCCTCTCGAAGCCCTGCCCACATGATGAGTGCCCGTGCATTCAGTACTCTGGCATCTGCGGTGACACAGAACGGCGTGCAGTCCTGCTCATTCTCTGGTACAAAGCACAGCCAGGTTGGTGCCTGAGGTGTGAAGGTGTGTGACTCACTTGCAGCATGATTCTGCCTCACTTCCCTTGGCCTGGGCTGATTGCTGGCTTGTGTGTGCCTGAGGCTCTGTGTGGCTGGGGAGAAGCCAGGCAACCATTCCCAGAGGGAAAAGAGTATTTAATTGACAGTGTGGAGACCTGGCCTGCAAACCTGGATCTGCCACTTTCAACTGCTTGAACTTGGGAGAACTGACTCACATGTGGGTTAACCTCTCTCTACAATGACTAGGTCCTTGGGAATCTTTGTTCTTCAGTGTGTCACAGGCACTAATGGCAAGAGGAAGCACCTGAAATCTTATTAGGAAGGCAGAGTCTTAGACACTCTCTAGATGCACTGAGCCTGAAGCTGCATTCAAGAAGACCCACAGACAGTTGAGGGGGTGTGGCTCCAGTCTCCATTAGCCTTTGGCCCTGATCATCTGGGACCTAAGGTGTCTCTGAACTTTGTCCCTGTAGATGTGCAGCTATGGACTGATCTTTGCTCCAGAGGAATTTCCCCCAGTTTCCACATTCTGTGTGTGTGTGTGTGTGTGTGTGTGTGTGTGTGTGTGTGTGCCTTCCCTGCTGTAGCTCTCAAAGTTAGCAACAAGATAATTGATAAAGCCTAGGAGCTCATTCTCTGTGAGCTAAAATTTCCTTCTGTGATGTACATCTAAGGGTTAGGGGTTAACCCACTGGCATCTGTTATCACAGATTGTGGAACACTTGCTCTCCCAGGCCATGGTCTGATGCTCCATCCTGTAGAGCACATCTGTTAGCTGGGGAGATGATTCAGGAGTCAAGCTCATGCCTTCTAAGCAGATCCAGCATGTATGCACCAAGCTGCCTGCATCTTGCCATTATCAGACTAAGAGCAAGAAAAGAGTGCAAATGGCATCCGGGATTCCCTACAGCGAGGGCTTTGTGTGAGGCAGGAATCTCAGCTCTGTCTCTATTTGGTGTGAACATATGCTCCGGACTGAGTGTGAGCCTAGTTTTTCCCTGTGAGTGCAGATGAGGCTGTTTCTGAGTGAGAGCCAGAGACTGTGTTTGGTATTCAGTTTAAAAGAAAAAAAAAAAAAAGAGACTGGTTCCATTTCTGGAATTAAATAACAGCAGCAGCAGTAACAACAACAAACAAAATACCCAGCTTGGCCTCATAAAGAGAAGTTACTAGGACTCTAGCATAGTATCTTCCTATGGACTTGGATTACTTGCCACATTTCCTACTGTGATAATGGCAGCACCTCAAGTAAGAAGAGGTGGTCCCTGCTGGGTATGAGGTCATCTCCCACACACAAATTTCCAACTGGGAAGATTGATAAGGTTACAATGAAGGAGGTAAAGGCAGGTTCTGGATAGGAGGACAATCTCTCAACTGGGATGTTCTTTCATCGTGTCTTTTCAGGTTTCCGAATCCATCCATATAATGAGAAGCTAAGCTGCTAGCTGAGCCTAGAGATGCCAGAAGAATCCATGGGGTGGGGCTAACCCCATGCTCAGTGTATTCCCTTCACTGGCCTTGTACTCAAAGTAGACTCCTGCTGTAAATAAACAGGAAGACTTTGGGCTCTAAAGCCCAAAGGGTACAAGAATGATCCGCCACCATGCAGACTCAGAGTTACATCATGCCACATAAAAACATATCCATTTCTTTATTTAGGCAACCACCCCATACCATAAAAGATATGGGGCAGCTTAAAGGAAACATGTTCATTTAGGGCATAGTATAAATACAAAGTGCAAAACCAGACCATAGGAAATATAAATTAGTGGAGTAGGTCAGTCTGGGTTACAAAACAGCACATCTTTCCAATCAGCCCAGGGATGGAGGTCTTCAGTAGATACTGGAGTAAGGCTGTACTGGACTACAGGTATTTTAGGCTAGAAATACAGTCTTCTTGAAGTCTTGAACATCACACAGACAGCAGAGCAGAGGCCTAGAGTGCTTGTCAAATAAAAAATGCCTGAAGGTTTCAGTCAACCTGAAGCTCAATGTGAGCAGCCCCATGGCTGGCTCCGCACCTAGGTGGGCCTATGTGAACAGTGCCAGCATATTTGTCAGTATGGAGAGTTCCCTTGCATGCACTTTAGCTGTGCATTCATGTTTCAGTATCCATGTTGGAATCTGCTTCTGTGTATCCTGAGTGGTGGGATGAAGAGGAGCCAGGGGCTCAGAGTCCAGTGAGTGTCAGAGGGGCATGGCAGCAGTACTGTATGATGCGTATTCATGGGAAACCCCAGATGGGTGTCTGTATTTGATTCCAATGGGCAGTTCTTAGAAAACACTTTGGTCAGAGGCTTCCTTGGGATCGAACCCTGTAGCAGAGTGGTTCCTATAACAGCCCCACTGGTGGAACTTCATGGCATCTCAATCCCTCACGAACTCCTGGAATGGTGGCAGCAGTCTTAGTGGTTTGGTGCAGGGTAGTTGGGTTATAGATAGAGACGTGGTAGTCACAGTCATTTGTGGTTATTCTTGTGGGTGATGTCAAAGCTTCATCATTGTAGCATCTGGGTCTCTCTTGGATGCTACAAAGGAGGTACTGCAAAGAGAGTGCATCTTGATTTGATTCTTCTGTGTTAGACAGACCTGCAATGGACAAAGGTAAAATAAGACTCAATGGCCACACATGGGTCAAAGTCCCAGTGCCCGAGTCCCTCAGTACCCACAAGCTTTTCTTGGACTACTTGGAACAAATCTGAGACTTGGATTTCTTCTACCTATCAAATGGAGGTTTGAGTCCTTTATTCTGACTAGGTAGTAATGAAAATAAATGATTGATTCAGTTGCTTGCATATAAGGTGCTTATCAAATACTCTTTCAAGACAAAGGTAATGCCTTGTCCCAGGTTTTTGACTCTACTCCTTCCCCAAGTCCCAGAGGGCCATCCTTTTTGTTTGTTGATTTTTGTTTTCAAGACAGGGTTTCTTTGTGTATAGCTTTGGAATGTGTCCTGGAACTCGATCTGTAGACCAGGCTGGCCTCAAACTCCCAGAGATCCACCTGCCTCAGCCTCCCGTGTGCTGGGTGGGATTAAAGGTGTGTGCCACCAATGCCCGGTGAGGTCCATTTTTGTTTAGCACCCTCAAATCCCTTTTCTGTCCTCCACTCTCCATCTCATTCAGTTTCCTGTATCCATCCCCCATAAAGGAATCCTAAACCATTAGGCCATTGTCCTTAATTCCATCACCAAACACTTTGAAGCCGCTCTGCACCCAGGCCTTGTGCATCTCAACAGTCACTCCACAAGTAGCACTTGTCTGATCTTTCCCAGCTGGTTGCTGATAAAGGCTCATTGCTGAGACTCATCACCTTTCCTGAAGCTTCAACATTCCCAGTGGCTCTGACACATACCAAGGCCAGTACCCCGTGCTGGCCATCATGTCTTCCTTTGTCCTCTTTGCCACTTTCATCAGAATGCTCCATTATTACTGGGAACTTTTATTTGGGCTACCCAAGCTGCATTCCCCATCCCATCCTCTAAGTGCAGGCATGGCCCACAGCTCTGACCTTGCCTCCCATGGGAAGCTTCAGTGGCTTGACCAGAGGCTTGGCATACTTTTCATAAAGGGCCAGGTAGTCAATAGTTCAGACTTTTTAGGCTATCTGGTCTCTGTTTGAATTATTCAACCCTTCTATTGTTCCATAAAGCAGCCAGGGGTAATAACAAAAGTCAAAGAACTAGCTGAGAGCCAATAAGAGGCAGGCCAGATTTGACCAGAGCCCATATCCACCAATGCCCAGTCGTGTAGAAAGAATATGAACTAATGCAGATGTACTGGGTTTCACAGTTTAGCTCCATCACTTACTGGCTCTATCACATTGCTCAAGTGGTTTAACCACTCTGAACCTTGTCATCCTTATCTGTGAAAGGGGACTGATGATGATGATGATGAGGAGGAGGAGGAGGAGGAGGAGAGGGAGGAGGAGGAGGAGGAGGAAGAGGAGAAGTTTCATGATACTTTTCTCAGGTTTTGTTAGTATGGTAAAATGGAATAACTGTAGCACCTTGGAGCCTGGCCTGGAGTCTTGGTGATCCCCATGCCTCCTTTCTCTCCCAATCTCTGTAGTCTCCCCTTTCCCCCAGCCTCTTCTCCCTCTACAATCTCATCAACAGTCATATCCTCAACTCTGTCTCCAGCTCCAGGTCTGATCTCTTGCTCTCATTTTTTTTTTTGGTTAAACTCTCCAATTGTATTTCAAACTCTCCGTGCTTGAGAGAAAAATGCATCATTTTAATCAAATACATCTTCTCTTGCTCCCCTCTCCTGTTTTAGGAATGGTGATGCTTTCTGAGCCTTTGCCACAGCCTCCCCACCCCTACCCCACCCCCAGCAGAGCAGGACAGGCTTCTTCTGTTAGGATGTCTCTGTGCTCCCCCAACTCCCACTTTCTAGGCATTGTTTCTCTCCAAACTTTTCTTACTTAGCACTTGCACTTTCTGGGTGTTCTCCACATCTCAGAGCCTCTACCTTCCAACTCATTTCATCCACACTGCTAAGTTACTCTTCCCAAAGAATGGTGGGATATGGCCGTTCTCCAGTCTGTAATGTCAACATCCCCACCCACATGAAGTACCAGGAGGCTCACTAAGTGTTAAGAGTCCGAATGGACTGCATGCAAAACCCCTAAGTCCAATACATCTATTTAACCTACTCCGAGCTCCCTAAATTCTTTAGTCTCTGAGCCTTTCTCTTTCCTTGCCTATGCCATCTCTAGCTGTCAAGTTCTTATCTGTTTCTCAGAGCCAGGCCAGACACCTGAATCCTGCTGTGGCCCGATACACGACCTTGCTTCCAGCCAGGGGCTCTGTGCTCACTCCAGCTTTCAGAGCCTATGCAAGACTGGGCTTATCTCCTGGACTGCACTTTTCTGTGTACTTCTCCAAAGCAGTGTGCACTTGCAATATCTCTCCCCGTAGATTAGAAATCCCTGGGGAAACTTGAGAGATACTTGCCTGTCCACACAACCCCAGAACCGTACCTGTTCTGGGTTTGCTGAATAATTGTGGGTGCCCTTTTGCCCAGATAACCTTTGAGCAGACATAGCAGCAGTGTGGGCAGAAAAGAGAGGCTACCTGCCTGAGAAAGCAAATGCAGAGGAACAAGTTTCACTTTCCAGGGCTTGGGGCCATGAGCCTAGTATATACCCTTTGGCCTTGATAGCAGAGTAGTGAGTATGCTTGTTTCTGAGGGTGATAGTTTCATGATGGGTGTGTGCAAGTGTGAGGGAAGCCATGGGATGGTGTGTGATTGGACTGATGTGTCTATGAGGGAGTTAGACACTAGTATGCACATAGAACATCTGAGTACAGTGAGGAAGGGATGTATCTATGTGTGTGTAATATATTCGTGTGTCGATATGGTGAAGGAGGCAATCTGTGGGCATGTGTGTTTAGTGTATTGCTGGGTTGTAGGATATGTGTTGGAAGAGGAAGCAGATGCCAAGAAGGGAGAGAGAGAGAGAGAGAGAGAGAGAGAGAGAGAGAGAGTATGTGGGGTGGGAATTATCCTAGATCCTATTTGCAAACAGACAAGAGTCCTCACTTGCCCTTTCCTTGGGACTTATCTTTATGGGATGTGCCCAAGGAGCTTTTTTTTTTTTTTATGGGGGAAGGAGGAAGCAAACAGCCTGGAAACACAGTGGCCATGAGATAAAATCAAAGCAAGGATTTTGTACACAGTTGGGCTATTAAAAAAAAAAAGACAGTCATTTTGAAATTTTCTGGGCAGCCCTCTTGCTTCTGGAGAACTGGCACACTGCAGGCTAAGAGCTGGCAGAGCAGCTGCCAGCTGCTGTCCTGCATCAGACCAGGAATGTGAGCTCCTTAGTCCTGGGGCAGGGTGGAGCAGGTCCTATCAACCTCATCTCACACAGTCTCCAAAGGATGTGAGCAGTGATATGGCATTGGCCTCTGAACTCGGGAATCTGTTTCTTTCCCCTTGACCCTACTCTGATAGCCAAGAACTGGCTAAACCAGTTACAATTGCCATAAATCATAAATAAAGTCGGTGATTATAATGAGGCCAAAAGTTGCAGAAAGCAGGGGAATTGACAGCAATCATCTTGGAGAGACAGTGCTGGCATCAGAGGAAATGTTCAGTGGTAAACCTACTGAAAACCCAGTGTCCTGGATGAGTAGACTGCGTGGGGCCTGGAACTCTGTATTCCTGTCCTCTCGTCCCGCCTTATACCCCTGGTCCCTCTAGGGATCTTCGTCTTGTGCTGCCTGATCAAAGATTCATTGTAAAGGGAAGGGCAACAACTTGTCCAAGATCACAGAAGAGGATGTAGCACCACAGTGAGCGAGCAGCTTCTGGGGCGGTAAGACTATGCTGTTTCTGTGGACCACTCCATTGCCCGGATGGAGAGAAAGGTTGATAGTGACCTGATGGCTTTGAAGGCCTCCCACACACGGACTGGAAAAGTGAAAGTGCTCTTGGAATGACTTGTGCTCCATGGAGAAGACACTGGGTAGCCCTCAAATCTGAAAATCCAACTGATCCTGAGTGAAAGCCTGGCTGTATCCACTCCCATTGCTACTCACAACATGACAAAACTAGAAAAAAAATGAAACACCCTCTTAATACCATGTACTGCCTTAACAATTGATCATGCTGGGATGTTGCTTAAAATGGTACAACACTTTCGTAGCATACATGAGGTCCTGGTTCCTGCCTCAGCACCACAGAGGCAGAACTGGTCATAATCTTTCAAGGGTGTCTATCCGAAAGGAAGGTTCTCCCACTGTCCAGCCCCCCTGTGCTAGCTATCAGCTATGACAGAGGCTGGATGCCCTTTGTGTTGTTTAACCACTATGGAGATCAAGGTTATTACTAATTATTCTATCTCTTATCTCTATAGACTTAGAGACAGGTATGGAGAAGGGAGGCAACAATCCCTAGGTCACACTGATAGCAAGGAACAAAACAGGATTCAAGGTAGATGGTGTAGAACTTTACCCCTGCCCTGGCTATTGAACTAAATTTTTAAAAATAAATTTGAGGGCCTGGAGTGATGGTTCAGCGGTTAAGAGCACAGATTAGGTTAATAGCTCAGAGGACCTGAGCTCAATTCACAGCACCCACATGAAGCTAACAACTGTCTGTAACTCCAAGATCTGACACCCTCACACAGACATCCATGTAGACAAACACCAATGTAATAAGATAAAAAATTGTTTTTGAAACTCACTGAAAAATGAATTTGAAACTACATTATTTAGTGTGTGTGTGTGTGTGTGTGTGTGTGTGTGTGTGTGTGTGCGCGTGCGCATGCACATATATGAATATGTGCAGATGTCAAGGTCACAGGACAACTTACAGGAGTCAGTATTCCCCTTTTCCCATGTGAGTCTCTGGGGCTGAACTCAGGACATAAGACTTCCTCAGCTTACTTTGTTACTGCACTGTTGTTAGTTTGACTGTGTGGTTAATGTCTGTGTCTCTCTCCTGACAGTGAACTCCCCAACCTGATCCTTACAGCATCTCTGGTACCTTACCCCAGTGCCTGACTCATTCCCAGCAGGCAAACTGAAGCCTTCCTCTCTCTGAAGCTTCATGACATGAATGAAGAATGAATTGATTCTTAGCATGGCCAACTCCAAGGGACAACCACAAATTCCAATTTCAGATTCCAGGTGGGCTTACTCACCCAGGCTACATGTTTGACAACAACATTAACATTCAGGTGAGCCCAATCATTTGCAAAAAGCCATTCCTGCCTTACCACTTTCTGGCCTATTTAATGAGAGCAGAGAATAGTATCCTCATCTCTAAGGTTCAAAATGCAGAGCTCCGCATGTGATGTGCTTTAGACAAGGTCACCCAGCTAAGGGGTGTGGAAGCCCGGTGTGGGTCCTGTGGGTTTCTGATGTCTCATTTCTCTCCTCATCTACCTTGTACTCAACGCACTGCTCTCTCTATTCCCACAGCTCTGGGGCCAAATGTAGACTCCAATAAAAGATAGAATCGTTATTTCCTTCCTCCATCTCAGCAAGAACCTTTGCTCCCTTCCCTCCTAATCAAAAGGGAGTGTCGAGCTGCACACACCTGCAGGTTCCAACCCACCTGGGGAGGAGGGTAAGAGATCAAACTGACCAGTACTCTCATTTCCGTCCCCTGGTAAGAGCTTCCATCTATCTCTGGGTTGTGAGGTCCATCCCAGTGTTATCTTTTGGCTTTACCCGTGTGTCAAAATCTTACACGTAGCTCTTATGTTGCTCTATGCAGTCACCTGAGCCACTTGCCTGGCTGTGACATATGACTGGGCTGTTAAAAACCCAAAGACAGTTCCTAGACTTCAGGAGCTCAGAGTCTGGTCTGAGCACATGTGATGGATGTATTAATCTTTGTGAGGAGCAGGGCAGGGGCACTTCTGAGGGGAAGCAGGCTCTGTCCTACCTGTCGGGTGCAGGAAGGAAGCAAGAGAGAAAGACCATTCTGGATGGTTCTGCTCTGCTTACTCCCACATGGCCCAGCTCACATCCCTCCAGGCATGTGAGGCCATTAGCAGCTACTGAGGAACTTTCCATACTTTCCTCATGCTAGAACCACCCCTCACCCCTCTGTATAGTGGAGAGTCAAGATGGGCTTTTTTCTCCCATGTTCTATACTGAAGGGATAATTCTCTCTCTCTCTCTCTCTCTCTCTCTCTCTCTCTCTCTCTCTCTCTCTCCTCTTTGTGTGTGTGTGTGTGTGTGTGTGTGTGTGTGTGTGTGTGTGTGTGTAGAGGAATCATTGAGTCATTGAGGCCTACTAGAAGAAGAAGGAATGTAGAGAAAATGGTCCCTAAAGAGAACGCATCCATTCCACATTGTCCTGCCCAGTCCACCACAACACTGACCTAAGCCTAGACTTACAGAATCCTCATCTGAGGATCAGTCATCCACCCACCTGTCCATGCAGTCCTGGCCTGTCCCTACCTGTCTGAGCGTCTCTCACCACTTTGCTAGTCAGGTCTTGTGTGCACTCACCTGGTCCCAGTGGGGGCATTCTTGGGGAGGGGCTTCATGTCCAGGTGGCCCCAGGTTCACAGCTGCATATGCCACCTGCCACTCTCCTGTCCATGCCACACTAAAAGTCCAGCTTCTCAAGAGGCACCTCGATATTGAAGGAATACCAGGCAAGCCAGAACAGTAGGCTCAGGGCCAGGACCAGAGCCCCTGTGTAGACCAAGAAGTCCCAGTAGTTTAGTGTGGCAAAGATCCCCAGCAGCAAAAGGACCAGGCCCACAGCGTCGCTCAAAAGAGCCACAATGAGGAAAAATACACAGCGCCCGAGATGGCATCTTGTACAAGGTCTGCCCAGGAGCATTGCCCAGGAGCAGCAGGAGGAGCCCAGCTGTGCTCCTGGGGGTGATTTGCATGGGAGGTGGCAGTCCTGTGCTGTCTCTCCCTCTGGGTGTGGGCAAATGCATGAGCTGGTGCGTCTTGGAACAAGAAGGAAGTCCACGTGGGTCCACCTTTATGAGCCTGGCAGCCAGTGGGGCAGGATATTTCTTAACTGTTTCATGGTTCAGGAATGATCCCAACCCAAACAATATGACATCACTGTTCATTGGACTGGGCATTGCTGGGATCAGCGGGGCTATGTGGCTGAGAAGCGTGCCTCGGGTGGATTTGCAGTCAGAGGTCCTGTGACCCTGGAAGAGGATGACTTCCTTGTTCTCTGATGTGACAGCCAGACAGCCTGAAGGCCCTGAATACCTGAGAATGGTGTCCACAACTACTGTGGTAGTGCAGGGTTTTCCTCCTTCCGTGCTTTCTGCCCTACTCTTGCTGGTGGGAAAAATGGGGGATTTAAGAATTAATGCATTTATTCTTTGTTCATGTGTGGGTTTTGTTTGTTTGATTGTTTTTTCCAGATAGAGTTTTTCTGTGTAGTTTTGGCTCTGTAGACCAGGCTAGTAGCCTCGAACTCACAGACGCCCACCTGCCTCTGTCTCCTGTGTGCTGGGATTAAAGGCATGCGCCACCACCGCTCAGCATGTGTTTATAATGCATTCTAAATTCTCAATCCTCTACCTCTGTTATCTCTCCCACTCCTATCACTCCTCCCCCATGTGGACAACAGTCTGTCAACACTTGTAGATTTTGAAGTGATACTGTAAGAATTGCTTGGTCAATATCAGCCCATGCTGTGTTTGCCTTGAAGATTCTCCACTCAAGTTCTGAAGGAGGTAAGTTCCCTAAGATGATGGATAGGAAAGATAAAAGCAGATGGGGGGGGCAGCAGGGAGACAGGGAGAGGATAGGGTGAGAAGGCCTTCTTGCTTCTGTCTACATTGTATTCAGTATGGGCCCAATGCATGTCCCAGGAACGAGGCCAGGGGACTTCGAATGCTCTAGTGACTGTTTTCCACAGCAACTAGTTTTTTTTTTTTTGCTTGTTTCATCTCGTGTGATGGATGATGCCAATCTGCCTATATAGATACTGTGAACATCCCTGAGGAGGTATGGATGCAACAGGTAAGTTTTGTCATGGTGACTATTTATAAGACGGGCAGATGGAGCATTGCAGGAGAAAAATGCTTAGCAATCCCCTCAGCAGAGCTACACAGGGAATCTCTCTGTCCCCATTCAGGGTGAAGCCTCAGATGAGATTCCAAACCTTTCTGAGCTTTGGTTTCCTCAGACAGATGAAGTAAATAATTTCTATTCCCCATCTTCCCCAAAGAATGAGAATAAGCAGGAGGTTCCCATTTAATTCACTTAGTTTCCTATGTATAAAATAAGCTTTGAAGGGAGAGCAACTTGCAGGAAATGTGTTGGGGAAGGAGAGTGGAAGCACAACACAAGCCAGAGGTTTCAGGATCCAAAGAACCTTAAGGTTTGACCCAAGCCATGTAGCCAAGTTGGAGCATCTCAAAGACAGAAGTGTCTGAGTCTGCTTCTGGGCCAGTATTGCATCCCTCCTATTGTATCCTCAGGAACTTTCACCCATGTGGAATGCCTCCTTGCTGAGGGAGCCAAGGTTCTTCCAATTTGTTAGCCAGCTTCGACTATGACAGTCGTGAAAAGATTGGTAACCAGTGATGGCGAGTAGAATCCCCAGCTGTGGCTATGGCTGTGCATGGCATGGCTGATTCCTTCTGATCAGTTTATCTGTATAGAGGTTGAAAACCCTGACTTATTTATAAATAAAAGGAGCAGAATTGAAGACACTGACCACTTGGGAATCCAGATATCGGTAGCATCAATTGGTTGGTAATCACAGTGCAGACTCAGAGCTATCTCTTTCCTTACTCCCAGAGGTAGGTTGTGTTGTCTTCTCGGTTCTGCAGCTTGTCATTCTCTCCTTATGGCCATGGCCACATTGCATATGGCTAACTGCAAGCCAGTGGACTGGCCAGGCCACCAGAAGTTCCTTTACTTTGCCTGGATGGCTTCTGTCCTGTTCCCTGATGTGGCCTCTCCTGTTTGTTAAGTCAGTGTAGGTATTTGCACAGCTAGGAGAGACTGATGGGATGCTTGATGAAAAGCTGGGAGATTGAGAACAAGGGAGAAGGGAGGTTTGGAAAGAGGTGGCAGAAGTCAAGAGCAGGCAGAGAGTGGTGTGAAGTAATGGAAAATGCTTGGGTTCCCCACCCTGGATCTGGGACAACTCATTAGCAAGGAGTGCTCACCTAATCCAACTAAGAACAACTAATGGCACCCTGTTTTAGCAAAGACACTACCTCTCTGCTCCCCCCCCCCCAGATGCATGCCCACTAATGCTACTTCAACAAATAAGCTCAACTCAATGACTTAAATGACAGACATGTGTTGTTTCCCAGCTTGGAGACTGAAAGTCTGTGAACAAGTGTTGGCAGCAGTGGGTCCTCTGATGGTTCCAAGGAGAAGCTGTTCCCTCCTCTCACGGCTTCTGTGGATGGGTAGCATCTCCACTGTTCTTGGGAGGAGGCATTGTGCTGACCTCTGCTTTCATCTTGGCATTGTCCCTGTGCACATGTGTCTGTGGATTGGTGGCCACTCAACTTGAGCTTAATCTCATCTTTATTAATTATGTCTCCAAGGGCTGCATTTCCAAATGTGGTCATGTTTGAGGTTCTGGGGTTTAAGACTTCATTGTATGATGTTGGCAGACATGATTCAATTCACAGCTTAGAAAAACAGCCAGAATGGGCTGGAGAGATGGCTCAGAGGTTAAGAGCTCTGACTGCTCTTCCAGAGGTCCTGAATTCAATTCCCAGCAACCACATGGTGGCTCACAACCACCCGTTATGACATCTGGTGTGCAGATATACATGAAAGCAGAATGTTGTATTCATAATAAATAAATAAAATTAAAAAAAGAAAAACAGCCAGAAGATCTGTTTGGATAGCATCTGATGTCCAGCTGTGATATAGGAAGAACATGTAGGCCTCCAAACCCATTCCTCAGAGACATGGGTAATTATAAAATGTCAGTACTCCATCAAAGGCGGTCTACCATATCACCAGGAGGAAGAAATCGCCAGCCCCAAAGATGCTGAGAATTGACTTGTTGTCCTGGATTCACTGAAAGAAGGGCTAAGAAGGAAGGCCTCATCTTGCTTGGGTTCAGTCTGGCTGCTCTTTCCATCGCCAAGCCAAAGAGATCATAGCCCATGAATAGATAACCCCAAATGACTTCCATGTATGTATAGCCTTGAGATGAAACACATTTTTCCAGGCATTGTGGGACCACCTGCAATACCAGCTCTCAGGAGGCTTAGTCAAGAGAATCATACATTCAAGTTCAGTCTGGGTTAAATAATGATATTCTGCCTCAGAAAATCAAAGGCAAAAATATGCTTAAAATGAATAACAATTTTAAGCATATTATTATTAAAAATATTATTGATTACTCCCTAAGTGTGGAGGATCAAATATGAATCTTATGGCACAGTTAATACATGTTAGCTAATATTTAAGAAGTACATGAATTGGTAATCTCAAATGGTTAATAAATGCTGTGGGATAAACTTAAAACCAGGGAAAGATAGTGTAGGTAGCTGTTATACTATATGGCAGGTTTGTTTCTGCTCCATGAGGTTAGTGTGTATGGCAGGCACAGCTATACACCTGTATAGGTACCTGTACATAGCCTATCCTCCAGGCTTGGTCTTCTAAAGTCCCTCTGTCTCCAGTTTCTTAGGTTTCTCAAGGCTTTAGTCACTCCTGTGGCTCAGAGGGCTTTGTCTTCTTGCTCTTGCCTCAGAACCCTTCCTCTTCTCAGCAGTGGAGACTTTTGTCCTTTGACAAAGCCACCATCACCTGACATCACCCTGTGATGTCACAGAATGACTGCCTCTCCATGACCTTAGATCCTAATAGGCATTTGAAGCTGAGGTAGGGATGGGCCAGCCATGTGCTCAGCTGATCCTGACTCTGTTAATGAGCAAGTCCCAGCTCCTGGGTGGGGCTGGCCCTGCTGTCCTGTACATCAGGCCTCCCTGCCTTGTCACAGTGCAGTAACTTGCAGGGTGCCTGGCTGCCACTTACTGGTTGTGTGATCATGAGCAAGTCACTGACCCTTTCTTCCTCTCAATGTCCTCATTTTAATCCCTGTTTCACAAGGTTATTGAAAAGACTGAGTTCACAGTTGTGAACTCAAGAGCATACACTGTAAACCTTGTCACTCAGATCCCCAGTCTTTCAGCCTTGATGCTTCCAGAAGGAGACAGGAGCTATCTTTAGCCATTTCTCAACCTCCCCTCCTGTCTGGGTGCTGGATTATGGGTGTGCATCAACAAGCCATCCTTAACCCTTTCACGCCAGCCTCCTTGCCTGATCCCTGCTAAGTCCATCAAGATACACCAAGCCCTCTTTCCATCTCTGGGGTAAACACAAATCCCAGGCTCATAACATCCCCTTCCTCAACCCTTCATGCACTTCCATTTTCCTTCCCTTACCAACATGGCTCTCTGTGGTCATCATCCTCATCCCTTGACTTTCCCCATTCCCATAATTAGGGCTCACCAAGCCCCACTTAGACATGTGCCATAGATGTGCATACTTCTACTTATCAAACAACAGTAGTATATCTATCTGTTAATGCTATATGTTTTGCCTTTTCACTAAACTACTTTTAAATATTTCAATTAATGTCACTGAAAAACTCATATTGCCTATAATAGAGAGCATTTAAGTTTACACGTGTGTGTGTGCACCTATGCACATGCGC